AGCCATGCCTAAATTAGAAAGTCTAGGGACAAGGTGTGACTTGCGGGCCCCTTCGGTGCCTCAGCTTTACCACTCCTGAGCTGAGAGAGGGCTCTACAGACTGCAGTTCTCCCAAAGAGGGGGGGAGAGAGGCACCCCAAAGAAGGGCAGTCCCTGGTTTTCCTCCTCCTCCATTCTTCGGATTTGTCATCTCAGCTCTACTGGGGTGAACCCTGGCCAGAAACTTGGTTTCGGTTCACCGCATCCCTCTGTTTCTGCCTGAGTCACTCAACTTCACATCCCTGGAGACTTACCCAAGAGGGCCAGCCTCTGAGAGATTTCCAGACTCATTAGGATCTCAGGAAAAACCCCAAAGGATTTTGCTGATAATTAAAGGACGTTCCTGGGAATTCTAAGCTTCATAACTTTATTACCATTCCTGGTGGGCCTGGACAGGTCTGGATTTCGGGGGAAGGAAGCAGCAGCAGAGGAACTACTATTTGGAATAGTGTTTTGGGTACTTGGGTGGCTCATTCGGTTAATTGTCTGCCTTCGGTTCAGGTCATGATCCCAGAGTCCTGCATCGAGCAGGGAGCCTGCTTCTCCCTCTGCCTGCTGCTTTCTTTCTCTCTCCCTGACAAGTAAATAAATAAAATACCTGTGTTTTGCCGAAGCAAATCTATCACAGGTTCCCATTAGCTGCAGACGAGGAGAGCATTCCCCAGTGTTCCTTAAGGGTAAAGACTGACTCTTGTTGGAGGCTTGATTTCCTCTGTTTTCATATTGGCCTGGAATTACATAACAGGATTTCCAAGGAGACAGGTTGGTTAACACGATGAAACCGGAGTCTTGATACAGACATATTCTGTGACATTCCCAGTCAGCCAGTCCCCTGAGCACCTGTGCGTCTGCCTGTGGAACTTGATGGTTCGCTCCTGACCAGCTCTTTCCAGCTGTAAAAGGAAGTAAATGAACCCAAGTTCTGGGGGGCTCACAGGGATAAGAAAGTAGGTATAAAAGCACCTGAAAAAAAAGAGAAAGCACCTGAGATTTTTAGGAAGAATGGAGTTCTTGCTATGAGTTATAGGTATGAGTCTTTAACTTCTGCCTATAAAATGCACAAATCCCTCTGCTTTTTTTTTTAAGATTTTATTTATTTATTTGACAGAGAGATTACAAATAGAGAGGCAGGCAGAGAAAGAGGGAGAAGCAGTCTCCCCACTGAGCGGAGAGCCCAATGCGGGGCTCGATCCCAGGACCCTGAAACCATGACCTGAGCTGAAGGCAGAGGCTTAACCCACTGAGCCACCCAGGCGCCCCATCTCTCTGCTTTTTAAAAACACTCCCTTGGGGCGCCTGGCTGGCTCAGTCAGTGGAGCATGGGACTCTTGATTTCAGAGCTCGAGTCCCCTGCTGGCTGTAGAGATTGCCTAAAAAAACAAAACAAAACACTCCCTTAATGCTGACTGCTGTGAGTCAACACACTTTCCACACACTCTTCATAACAAGGTTCTTAAGATCTATACATGTTCTCTGCACCTTTGACTCAGTGATTAGATTTCCTTTTTTTAAAATATTTTATTTATTTATTTATTTATTTATTTATTTGAATGAGAGAGAGAGCACAAGTAAGCAGAGCAGCAGGCAGAGGGAGAGGGAGAAGCAGGCTGTCCGCCAAGCAGGGAGCCCCATGTGAGGCTCAATCCCAGGACCCTGGGATCATCATGACCTGAGCCAAAGGCAGAGGCTTACCCGACTGAGCCACCCAGGTGCCCCAGTAATTACATTTCTATAATTTTATTCGAAGGGAATATTGAGAGAAGCATACAAAAAGTTATGTATAGGCACACCTGGCTGGTTCAGTCGGTGTAAGACTCTTGATCTCGGAGCAATGAGTTACAAGCCCCATGTTGGGTGTGGAGCCTACTTCAATTAAAAAAAAAAAAAAAAAAAAAAAAGGTTACGTATGAGGATTATTATCATAATAATAAAAATTGGAAACAACCTAAATAATCAGTAAAGTCCAGGCTTTACATATTTGGCATACTTGAATCAGGATTTGGTTACGTATGTAGCAAATAACGGAAAGTCTACAATAACTGTGACCCAAGGAGTTCTGCCATGTAGGGCTGGTGGGGTGCCTTTGTTCCAAAACTCCTCCAGGTCAGGGCTTCTCCTTTTCAGTTACTCTATTGTGTCTGGCTTTTTTTTTTTTTTTTTTTTTTTTATTTATTTATTTTTTAAACATATAATATCTTCTTATCCCCAGGGGTACAGGTCTGTGAATCGCCAGGTTTACACACTTCACAGCACTCACCATAGCACATACCCTCCCCAATGTCCATAATCCCACCCCCCCAACCCCCCTCACCCCATTAACCCTCAGTTTGTTTTGTGAGATTAATGTGTCTGGCTTTTATATCCAAGATTGCTTCATGGGCCAAGATGGCTACCAACTCCAGCCCGAGCAAAGAGGGATGGGACAGAGAGAAATGGGGCAAAGGTCATTCACCAACTGTCTCTTCAAGGAAGGGCCCAACGGTTGACTGACTTCTGTTTACATTCAGCGAATTGTTTATCTGTCAGAGAAGAAAGGAACTGCCAATGTTATTACTTGAACTCAAGCCTTGAGTTGATGAGGGTTGAATTTGGGGCAAAGAACCACTCCAGTTGTTGGTCTGAAAGAGTCATTTTTTTATCTGTTCAAAGGTTCCCAGAGTCAAATTTTCTGTGTCCCTACCTAGAGGGGAGGTGATCCCACCAGGATGCCTCGTTCCCGTACACAGTTGGTACTTTGTTGGTGCCTGGCCTGTTTTATAACGTTGCTGTCTTCTGAATGTCTTACTCGGGTGTTCCAACCCCAAAAGCTGGTATAGCTCCTTCGGCTCAGCCAGAGGCCACTTCCATCAATCTGCTGGTGCTTATTAAGCCCCTAGACGCAGTTCCTTGCCCGTGGCCGAAGCTCATTTACTCATTGTTTATTTAAATAAATTGTTCTTTGACTTGGATTGTACCCAGTTCCACATGAGAAATAGAAGAGCGAGACACAGGTCTGTTCTCATATTTTGGCATGAGGCTAGGGAGACACACAAAGCAATAGAAAATAAGAGAAATGCTATAACTAATCAGGTGCGAAGAGGGGTGGTCCAGGCCACAGCTGATAGAAATGTTCACTACAGGGACGCCTGGGTGGCTCAGTTGGTTAAGCAGCTGCCTTCGGCTCAGGTCATGATCCCAGTGTCCTGGGATCGAGTCCCACATCGGGCTCCTTGCTCATCAGGGAGCCTGCTTCTCCCTCTGCCTCTGCCTGCCATTCTGTCTGCCTGTGCTTGCTCTCTCCCCCTCTCTCTCTCTCTGACAAATAAATAAATAAAATCTTAAAAAAAAAAAAAAGAAAGAAAGAAATGTTCACTACGATTCCTAAATGTGAGGAAGGTTGATAGTAAAGAATTTGGCTTTGCCCAAAGAGAAATCTGGCCTTTGCCCTTGGCTTCTGTGAAGTAATCTGTGTCAAACCTAAGAGCAGTACTTTGGGGTTTTAGGGCCAGGGCTTTAGGGCCATGCAGGGTCAGCCCACCCGGAGGCTGAGGTCAACCATATGGACCATCAATCGGTCATGCCCAAGTAACGGAACCCCAATAAAAACTCTGAACACCAAAGCTGCAGTGAGCTTCCCTGGTTGGCAGTCCTCCCTGTGTGTTGTCACACATCACTGCCGGCAGAATCACACGTCCCCCAGGGAGAGGACAAAAGATTGTTCACATTCAGAACCCTCTCAGATTCTACACCCAGTGTTCTCTTCCTTTGGCTGATTCAGTCTGCATCCGTTCCCTGTTAGTGGCTCAGTCGGTTAAGATCTGCCTTCGGCTCAGCTCATGATCTCAGGGTCCTCAGATCGAATCCCACATCGACGGGGGAGGGGGGCGGTTCCTGCTCAGAGGGGAGTCTGCTTCTCCGTCTACCCCTCACCCTGCCTGTGCTCTCCCTCTCTCTGTCAAATAAAGAAATAAAATCTTTTAGAAAGGAAAGAGAGAGAGAGAGAGGTGGATACCTATTAGTAGGACTATGAATGGGGCGCCTGGCTGGCTCAGTGGGTTAAGCCTCTGCCCTCAGCTCAGGTCATGATCTCAGGGTCCTGGGATCAAGTCCTGCATCGGGCTCTCTGCTCAGCAGGGAGCCCGCTTCCTCCTCTCTCTCTCTCTCTCTGCCTGCCTCTCTGCCTACTTGTAATCTTTGTCCATCAAATAAATTAAAAATTTAAAAAATTATTAAAAAAATAATTCAATTTTAAAAATGAACAAATAAAAAGACTACCCATTATATCCCCAAACTGAGGTCAAATTGAGACCTTGGCCTTGTGGTAGGTGATGCCATAGATGGATGCACAAAAAAGAGACAGAGGAGGAGGAGATAGGCCTATGGCGTGGCGGAATGGAAACTCACAGAAGGTGCAGACCTCTGCCCCGGAGACCAGCCCCACTGGGGTGCAGCCCCGTTGGACGGAGTATGCTGGTGGCTCTGTAGGGCTAGAACATCTCAGCTCTGCAGTCAGAAAGCCGGCTCCCAATCCGCCTCCAACAACCTTGCAAGTGGGCTCCCTAAGTTCGTCTGTAAAGGCTCCTTCTCTAGATGTTCATGAGGTTAAATGAAGAAACATAGCTTTGTACTTTTTCTTAAAGCACTGTTGCTTTTACTCTTGCAAAGATAGATATCATTCTGCGGTGTGGCCACATTTGTTCCTAACCCGTACGTTTCCCGAACTTTAGATCAAAGCCTTGTCTCTTCAGTGTCTATCTCCTCCCCTCAGCAGCGAGCACAAGGCTCCAAAAGTGTGTTGTGTGGAGGTGTGCACTGATCTCTAGTTGCATCGCGTTTCCAAATCTTACCTCTTTTGCTGAAATCTGGATCCTTAAGGGTGCCCCCCCCCGCCCCATACAGTTCCTATCACGGGGCTGGCACATGCCTACCAGAGCTTGGGGAGGAGTTCACACCTGATTAGAAAAGGTGTTTCTTCTTTCCAGGGACTTCCCAGATGACCCAGGTGTGCAGTGGGACACAGAGCGTGTGGCTGGCACCCTCCTCCAGCACGTAGAAGCAAACAGCATCAACCTGGTAAGAGGACACCCTCCCTGAACGCAAAGCCAGGGATCCCAGTCACACCTTTACCCGTGGCTGCCCTCCTCTAGAGCTCTCTTTTAAACCTGCAGAGGGGGGCACCTGGGTAGCTCAGTTGGCTAAGCATCTGCTTTTAGCTTAGGTCACGATCCCAGGATCCTGGGTTCGAGTCCCACGTAGGGCTCCCTGCTCAGCGAGGAGTCTGCTTCTCTCTCTCCCCCTGCCCCTCCACTCCAGACGTGCACTCTCTCTCTCTCTCTCAAATAAATAAATAAAATCTTTAAAAAAACAAAAACAAAAAAATAAACCTATGGAGGACCAAACACACCCTCTGTGGGACTCCGTAACTAAACTGCCACAGGTGGACACAGAGGTTTTTTCCAAGCTGTGTCCTCTTTAACCATCCCCAACCCCAGCCTCTGTCCTGCCTTCTCAAAACTCAGGGCCCCAGGAGCCCGAGCTATGGCTCCTGTTTGTACAGAACTTCACCTTTTCCCGAGCTTTTTCATGTTTAGGGGACCATTTTAACTTTAAAAGGCAAATGTTGGGCGCCTGCCTCTCTGCCTGCTTGTGATCTCTGTCTGTCAAATGAATAAATAAAATCTTAAAAAAAAAATAAAATGGTTTCCTTAAGTAGGGAAATTAAATGAGTTCAGGATTGTCCTGACGATTAAGGGCCCTCACACACTGGAATGAACATGAGCACCTCAGACGACAGGAAAGAGCTCCAGGCAGCCAGGTGGCAGTTAACCGTCTGGGCAGTCTGGGGACAAGCACGGTCTGGGGCCTGTTCTCGTTCTTGGGGATATAAAAATGTCATGGCGGTCCCTGCCTTCACGGACCCTCCAGTCTAGTTCATAAGACACGGTCTGTACTTCAAAGAATTAACAGCAACTCGCAGGGTACACGCCAAATACTGTAGGATTCCCAAAGCGGGCTGAAGAAGTCACGGAAGGCTGCTTGGAGAAGGCGGTCTTGAGATGAGGCCTGGACCACAAGTCACTTTTCTGGGACACAAACTTGGGAGACTCTTCTGAGAGCAAAAACGGCACGGAGAGCTGTCCGTGGCCCGAGACCCCTCCCCGGATGCTCAGAGCTGTGGTCAAATGCAACATGGTCTAAAACAAGAAACCCGGCCCCCTGGCAAGGACGGATCCTGTTCCCCAGTGTGCAGTGCTGAAGGGCTGCCTGGGTGTTTAGGAATTTAAGTGGTAAATTTTAGGCATTAGCCCATGAGGGATTGTCATTTTAGAGGAGGACAGTAAGCCTTCTCAGCGGCCACAACATCGACCACTGGCAAGGCCGGGTCCAGAGGACCCTGGCAGAGCTGAGATGGGGGCTCCCGCCCTTGGTGACCGGTGAATGCGAATCTGCACTGTTGCTCGACCTCTGACTAAAATGTTCTCTGGCAGTGCGCGTGAATGTACTCTTGTACGTTCTGCAGTGAAAAGTTGAGGCTAAAAATCCCAGCTTCGGGGCGCCTGGGTGGCTCAGTGGGTTAAGCCGCTGCCTTCGGCTCAGGTCATGATCTCAGGGTCCTGGGATTGAGTCCCGCATCGGGTTCTCTGCTCAGCAGGGAACCTGCTTCCCTCTCTCTCTCTCTCTCTCTCTGCCTGACTCTCCATCTACTTTTGATCTCCCTCTGTAAAAAAAAAAATAAATAAAATCTTAAAAAAAAAAAAAAAAAATCCCAGCTTCATCCCTTGCTGACCTCGGGCAAGCTTCTCAGCTTCTGGAAGCCTGAGTTTCCTCAATGTCAAATGAAAACTATGGTAACATTTGCCTTTTATTTTATTTTTTTAAAGATTTTATTTATTTATTTGACAGAGAGAGAGATCACAAGTTGGCAGAGAGGCAGGCAGAGAGAGAGAGGAGGAAGCAGGCTCCCTGCTGAGCAGAGAGCCCGATGTGGGGCTCGATCCCAGGACCCTGAGATCATGACCTGAGCCAAAGGCAGAGGCTTAACCCACTGAGCCACCCAGGCACCCCAAGGAAACCATTTTAAAACAGCTCTTTAACTCACCTTGCTGTTAATAAGGAAGCTCCCAAGCTGTCACGGTGCAGTAAGGAATAATTTCCCCGGCCTGCACTTCATACAACAGTAGGCGTGTAAGGCCACGCTAACACCATTGTCAGTGAGGATGTAAGTGGCCATAATCGAGCTCAGCCCCCAGGAGGCCCTGAAATACGCTTTCCCACAGTCCCTGTAGGCCCTGGTGGGCCAGGGGCGAGGGCTTAGTAGTAGAGAGGGGAGAAGTCACTCGGTGGCAGGATCAGGGACCTAGGGCCCCCTCCAGACCGGAAGTATTGGCCGCATGATGAGAGAAGACCAACAGGGAAGCAGAGACAGAAGCCAGGAGCACCAAGCTAAGACATGGGAAGACAGATTCCCACCTGGGCTGAGCTGGGATGATCCTAAAAGCTCTCCTCCACCCCAGCCGACAGCTGGCTCTGCAGGGGTTAACCCCAGGAGATGGAAGGAAACCAGGTGCCATCTGGTCCCAGCCCCACCATGTTTGCTGAGCTGCCAGGACATGGCTTTGAAAGCTTTATGGTGCTGCCCTCTACAGAGAGCAACCGAGGGGTTCAGTGGTGTCTTTCCGTGGCAAGCGGGCTAGGTCCGGGGTCCGGCCCCTATGTGGACCTTTCATTCAACAAATATTTATTGAGCACCTGGTCTGTGATATTCCCTACTTGCTGTGAACTGGCGATATAGACTTGAAACCAAACACCCAGTCCCTGCTCCCTTAAGGATCCGTGACATGTGGGCCCCCATCGTTGTTTGCTGTGGGGGACAATACTTACCAGCATCCCAGGCTTTTCCCCACTGACCGCCCCCTTCTCTACCCAGTGGCAACACCCCTCAGTCATCACAGCAAATCTATCTTCACACATGGCCAGATGTGCCTGGGGCGACGTAGCTGCCAGTTGAGAACCACCATCTTAGAGAAACCAGAGCAGCCCCCCCATTACCACTGGGGTCTGGGTGAGATTTCATTTGAACAAAGATTTCCACAGCTTTTGGGGGATGTGGTGGGTAAGGTGGATGGAGTTCTAGAAAGAGCTACAGGGGTCACCGTTGTCACATTAAATATCTGCAAAAGTCCGGGGAGCTGGATACAATTCCGCTCAGCCCTCCTTGTGATGGAAAGAAAGAGGGAGACTATGGGAAGAAACAGAGACCTAGGAGAATTTCAGAAGCGATTGAGCCAAGCTCCAGCAGACCCCCATTCCCCCCTAACCTAGGAAGTGCTCTCCAGCCCACCCAGGGTAATGACTAGCCCTGCTGTCATGGTCTCCTGATAAGAGCGGGCTTGGAGTTGAGACGCTCTAGCCTGTCCTGTTGTACGTACACATTCCTGAACATTTCCACATCGGGCTGTTGTGTCTTCACCTCAACCCCGCCAGGAAGGCAGAGCAGGTATTACTTTTCTTATCTGGCAAATGAGACGACCAACAACACATTGAACCTTGAAATAACTTCCAGGGGTCAAGTTCTGTGACCTGCCCGATGGCAGGGGTTAAGGAGGGTCCAAGATAAGAATAGACTTAAGTTAGCACTGTGTTGGGTGGAACACTGGGATCAGAACAGGGTACTTGAGCTAGTTACACAGTTTTACGTTTTTTCTTTTTTTTTTTCTTTTTTTAAGTAGGCTCCTTGCCCAATGTGGGGCTTGAACTCACGACGCTGAGATTAAGAGTCATATGCTGTACTGACTGAGCCCCAGCCAGGCGCCCCACGGTTTATGTGTTTTAATAGATTGTATTCTTTAGAGCAGTTTAGGTTCATAGCAAAGTCGAGCGGAAGGTACACAAAAACTCCCCGTCCCCATGATTTTTTACAATCAGTAAACCAACACTGACACATTAGCACCCCCCAGTCCACAGTTTACATGAGGGCCCACTTTTGGTGCTGTACATTCCATGGGCTTTGACAAAGGTATAATGACATGTGTCCACTATTCACTTTTTATAAGCCTTTAACTTTTTTTTTTTTTTTTAATTTTCCAGAAGGGAGAATTTCAAGCCTGCAACTGTAGAGAGAAGTTTAATGAACTTCCATGTTCCTGTCACTCGGCTCCTATAATCATTAACTCACAGTCAATATTAGCTTCATTTAAACAGCTGTTCACCTCCCCACCTCCTGTTTTCTTTCTTTCTTTTTTTTTAAAGATTTTATTTATTTGACAGAAAGAGACACAGCGAGAGAGGGGAACACAAGCAGGGGGAGTGGGAGAGGGAGAAGCAGACTTTCCGCTGAGCAGGGAGCCCAGTGGGGGACTCGATCCCAGGACCCTGGGATCATGACCTGAGCTGAAGGCAGATGCCTAATGACTGAGCCACCCAGGCGCCCCCTGTATTATTTCAAAGCAAATCTTTGGCATCATATTTCATATTTAAATATTTTAGCATGCATTTCTAATCGTCAACAAGTCCTTTTTTTTGTTTGTTTTAAAGATTTTATTTATTTATTTAAGAGAGAGAGATCACAAGTAGGCAGAGAAGGGGCTGGGAAGCAGGCTCCCCACTGAGCAGAGAGCCCGATGCGGGGCTCAATCCCAGGACCCTGGGATCATGACCTGAGCCGAAGGCAGAGGCTTTAACCCACTAAGCCACCCAGGGCCCCCCCCACAACAAGTCCTTTATTAAACTATAACGCCATTGTCACCCCTAAACATTCACAATTCCTTGATACTGGTGTTTTGTATTTCCAACAGTCTTATGTCATAAACGTTTTCATCTTGTGCTTATTTTTATGGCTTGTTTGAATCAGGATACATTGACAGGACTTTAAATTTTCTTTTCATCTGCACTCCCCACCCTGTGCCCAGTAGAGGTGTGCTGCTCTCACTGTAACACCAAGTTCCCGGTACGTGAAGTCAGCATTTTATGATTTAAAATAGAAACACCAGTAGGGAAGCCCTTCTCAGCCTATACCAATCCCCGTCCTGGTCCCTTTAGTCCATGCGGCATGCCGTGCACTTTCCTTGGGGACAGCTTACCTCTCTCCACTTCCCCTAACCAACCATTCCTGTTCCTTTTTCTGAGTCCCTGTTTTCTTTTTAAAATTTCTTTTATTATTCGAGGTAACATGATTATTATTCAGACTTACTTGGTCTTTTTCTTAACCCATCTGTACAGAAATGAAATGTTGGGGGGCGCCTGGGTGGCTCAGTGGGTTAAGCCGCTGCCTTCGGCTCAGGTCATGATCTCAGGGTCCTGGGATCGAGTCCCGCATCGGGCTCTCTGCTCAGCAGGGAGCCTGCTT